AACAGGTCAGGCTCAGGTTCTTCAGGTTGAAACCAGCTGTACTGGAGGCAGCAATGGAGGGGTTGAAGAGGGAGGGTACAGAACAACCTATTTTCTTCATCACAATGTCATGCTTTGACAACAAAGCAATAATAAACGCTCAACACTTCTAGCTCTACATTGTTGGGCAGAACCGGCAAGGGTCACTCAAGACAGCTTTGAGACTGCGCGATGACGCGCGTCGACGCGCTGCTATTGCGACCGTGCTCGAACGCTAGAGACTGTAACGCAGCCATAGAAGGGTATCGATCGGCGCCGGTTGCCACTGTTTCGACTGGGTATGGCAGCATAGGAGGGTAGATGCTGCCTAATCACACTGTTTGGTGTGATTAGACATCGCGTACCTTCCTGTTCTCCTATACCCTCCCCGAGCACTGACGGCAGGCGACAATCTATAACGGCTCATGGCTGCATTCCCGGCTATAGCATCGGAGCGCAGTTGCAATGGTAATGCGTCGCGGCGCGTACGTCATCGCGAGGTCTGAACGCTGCCCAAAGCGTTGTGCACCATTCCGTTGACATGTTTTGATGTCTCTTGGCATGGTTTAATTCGTTCCGGTAGTGCTTGAGCTCCCTCACTTTTCCCTCTCCCTTTCTGACTAATTTCTTTTGTATTCACTCACGCTTGCGCGTCGTGGTTTTGTAGATAGTCAGTCGTCTTCACAAAAGTAACTTTTACGCACATTCTGATGGAACTAGGACGGGCCAACACGTACTCCACAACATTACTGTGCTGTATCATTACTCTCTTGACGCTTTGTTTCAGCAAAATGGATGAAAACTTAGTCGTGTTTCTAGAATTCTCACCCATAAAAAATTGCTCAAGAAGACGGGAAAGTCCAACGGAGTAGAACTGTGTGTCCCAAAAAAATACCCTCTCAGCGTTATCAGTTCACTATTTCCACTCTATCTTATCACTGCACAGCTCGCAACTTCTCAGCGTCGTTGGGAAAAACCATCTCAGTCACCGTTGCTACCAGCAATGTGGCCCAAATTCGATCCGAAATCTACCAATATCAATTTCGAGCCACTACCAAGATTATATAGGGACGACGACGAGCATTCTAGTAAAAGGTTATCATATCAGTTTCCTTATTGCTTTTGTATTTTTCTCAAGCTTTTGCTGAGGCAAACCCCTCTGAAGCGTTTCTTTTCATTTTGCCAAATATTACACCGATTACGTTACGTACAACTCTGTCTTTCTGGCTTTCTCTTTTATTCTACATGCGAATCGAGATCAACTTCAATAACGGCAACAGAGCACATCTTATGTTTCCCAGCTCTTCAAAAATTACCTTTTACCACTCAATAAAGACGAAGTTATATACAGTCGTTTTCGCTGCAGAGGCGGAGGCGTATCAGTGGCACGGCGCCAGCGCATTCTCCACCAATTCTTGGAGCGCGGGCAAGCGACAACCAATACAGAAAGCAGGCTGGCGCAGCGCCAAGCCCAGCCCCTCTGACATGCCCGAGCATCTGCAGAGAAAGCGGCTAAAACTACGTGGGCCTAAGGGGTTTGCAGTTTTGTGGCGCTCTGCAATGGTTTCGTTGAAGTTTCGTTGAGTTTCAAATGAAATTCGAAAGAAATAGGCCCATGGAAAGTAATGAAAAGCTGGGTGATCGAACTTAGTCATTTTCTCATGACCCTGCCCCATGGAAAAAAGAGAATCATAATGAAATTAATATGCAGATAAATTTTATTTACATAGTTTACATAATTGGTCGCTTATATACCGACATCTGACATTTTCTTCGGTGCGGATGCAGAGGTGTGTCAAGAGGGCTCGGTCTGGCGCTGCTCCAACTGCGAAAGATCATATCTGTTGTTCTCAGTTCTTCGTAAGTAACCTCTAACCCAACAAAGACTGATTTAGATACACCTCCTTAGAGTTCTCCACCAACTTTGGTCCGGGCTAAACAACTGGTGGATAGCTGAGCGCGCGCTTGCATCAACCAGCCTCCTTGTCCTTGCATACCCGCGAGCATTCGCAGCAACATAAAATATCTTGCATACAGTATTATTTCACAGTGAAATGACTACCTTTTGGAATTTTTATTTTCTTTGCCTTTTCTGTTATATTTCTATAGCATATTAGGTTATTATTTTGCAGATCTCCGAGCTTAACACAACGATTTGTGAACGCTATTGCCGTATGTACTCAGTGCCTACTTCTGATCTTCATACTTCTTTCCATCGCTAAAATCGTTTATGTATTATACAATCAGGTATCTACTTTAACCACCTTCATTGACAGATGGTATAATTACCGACTCAGTCCACGCTGACAGTGTTAGGGGGCCGGTTTTATCGTTGGTAACCTTCCTCATGGCGCTCCGCTTCCTCGTATATGTGAGCGGTGCAGAATTGACGAAGGCACAGTGGTAGCTGACGCGCAAATACCATGGAATGTGGCTATTGAAACGTATGGGAATCTTCACATCATTACGGTTTTGCTAGCCAATGAAAATTGAGTCGTGGCAACTATGATCTTCAAAAGATCACATATCCCTTGAACCAATAAATCGCGAATGGGAATTTGGGCACGTAGTGCGATGAGAAATCTCACTCCACAAAAGTCGTGTTTGGTCGCTGTGGAAGGGGGGGGGGGAGCGTCAAAACCTTTTTTGATAGTTGAATGTTTCTGGTTTCAGCGCCGCTACCCACATCGTTTGAAAAAAAGGGGAGGGGGCGTACTGCTGGTGCTTTGATTGGTGACCCAACCTATACTAGTATTTTTGATGGCTGAGTTTAGTATTGTTTGCAGCGACCTATTGCCTCCCCCCGTCGACGGCAGTATTTTGGACACAGCGGGTAAATTTTTGGGAAAGTAACGAGAAATCGCGAATAGTAGCACGGCGGGTAGAATGGGAAGGGGTTGGCTGCTCCAAAGGAGGAGGAGATCTCGGGGTCAAAAGGAGTGTTCTCTTTAGTGCATGTTTGACAGAGGATTTTTGAAAAAGAAAAGGAGAAACAGTCAGAACTTGAGATTTTGTCATAATTCAAAGCAGATAGAGAAATAGAAATGCATTTTGATAAAGCATTTCCTGTGCAAAGCGTAATGAAAAAAAAACGCCAGAAATCCAAAAATCAAGCTATTCGGAATATCCAACAAGTTAATGACTTGATGCAATATAACTTGAAGCTTTCTGAAGGATTTACTATTCAATGGTGGTAGATAACGATGACGTCATAAGTACACACTACAATTTTCCAGGGTAAATGGTCTCAGAAACAATCATACCTGGAAAAATCGGAAGGTGAAGAAGATCGCTATGCACAAATGTTCCAGGAGTTCATCGACAGGTAAACAAGTTAGGTTCGATAAGCCCACCTCTACACCTGGGTCGCCTCTCAGGTAATAGTTTGGTTGAGGTCTGAGAAAATCATGATAGAGAGTGAGATACCGCAGGAATACGATAGGAATTGACGGCAAAGTTGAGGCTGTATGAGAGAGAGTTGTTCATTCTTCCAGAACTCATTCCAGTAGAAGATGTCTAACACAGTTTAGTTCAATGAAACTGGGCAGCGACAAAGTTTCTATAAAATAGAAAATGTGCAGACCTTGGGCTTACTAGATGGCGATTTTCGACAGGGCAGATCCTGCCAGCTTCGGGAACGCACCCTCTTTAAAATATTAGCCACTGCGGCTTGCCCTGAGAGTAACGGTACGTACACACAGTAACGGTACGTATTCACTAAGCCATGACGATTGTTCAAAGGAGGAAGAAGTAGGTGTCGCGCGGCGATGGAGACTCTAGTCTTCTTGATAGTTTTTTTTTGTGAAGTGGCAGGAAGAAAAAGAAAGTATGCAGGCGGAAGAGCTGTAACAAGAAGACGATCGACTATGGCCGACTCGAATTGTGAAAGGAGACCCGAAGCAACAGAATTAAATACGAGGAGAGTAAACCAGACAGGGAAGGGAAAGAAAAGGAACGGTTAAAATTCAGGGAGCTCAGCAGGTCGAAGCATACAACTAGCGAGTCATTGCTCAAGGACCGAAGGCCAGCATTCTCGTGATCTAGAAAAGGATCCTCTACGCAGAAGACAGGCCTTAACAAGACCATTGACTTCACCTTCAACCAGTGAGATTATTGGGTTCTAGCGCTTCCGTGATCATGTTGCCAGATTAAGCAGCGCAGCGAGGATCACAGTTCTTCCATCATTTTGATGGAAGTTGTTTTAATAAACTGGCTCGCAAGTCCTCATAGGGAATGATTTTCATTTTCCCTTGAACCTGTGAAGCCATAGGCTCAGGTTCTTATAAGGCAATTCCCGCGAACCTATTTTCATGGGTTAATAGTTCAAATGAATTGCCCTGTGATTGTTGACTTATTGAAGAGAAGGAACCACGAAAAAGCGCCCGCAATAAGACCCTCTTTATTTCAATTGATCATGATCACCGGACGAGCGTAAGGTGGTCAAGATCAATTGTGGATGGCAAAAGGCGGCGAGACACTGATAAGAGACGAGAGAGGCCAGAAAATGACGGGCGAGAGAGCGCAATGGCAGTCTCACAACGACGGTCACTGGAGGCCGGCATGGGCCTATCGGGCGCCAATGGGCCTAAAACCTGGGCGCCCTGCGTTTTGCTTGCTGTTTTTCAACTTTTAAAAGCAGCATATCCTCTACTGTTGCCTGCTTGATCATCATGCACGTTTATGAGGTTCTAGCCTTAGTTTATCGCGGAACGTGCCTTTAATTCTCAATTCCGGTACCATGAAGGAAAAGTGGAAGAAAAAGTAAGAAGCTGTCCTGCGGGAGTCTGGTAGCAAAGGATAGAATGGTTATGAGTAAAGCGATGGCGTCACTATGACCCCTCACAAAAAGGAAGAATCTCCTCACGACCCGCTTTAATAAAACTCGACCGCATCGAACGAGGGAGAGGAGTGTTGTAGACACCGACCGATAACCCATCAAAAATTAGTGCCGCAGCGCGACCGCGGATAAAGAGGTGGGCGAGAGGACAGAAAAATCACTGAGTTACTTAAACTTTTTCAGAGACCAGTCGAACTCTGGTGTGTTTTCGTCACAAAGACGCTGAATATGTTGGAGCCCAGGCCATTATTCAACTAATTTTTATACTTTTACACACAGTGACATACTTGGAAGGATTAAGAGAACGAAAAGAAAATTAATAAAATAGAAGAAACCTAGCAGAAAGTCTTAAAAAGGTTGGATGCTACTTGCTGCATTGTCCTACGTCCTAATTGAAAGTGTTTGCAGTTTCAACAAGAAATACGCGTCCGATGAAGAAAGAGCGTTCCGGTTTTCCGTCTTTGTCAAAAATGTTGAAGATTTCGAGGAGGAAGAGCGTAAACATCCCGGTCTCGACCTCGACGTTACGAAGTTTGCTGACTGGACCGAAGAGGAAATGATTCGGGTTCGTAAGAAAAGAGAAAAGTAATGGCGATTGATTAAAACGTAATTATCGTAACGAATTCGTACGCTCTCTGGAAAATTATCCCGCGACTACGTACTGATGGCCGCGGTTCGAAGACACACCTTTGCGAGACGGTATCAGAAGACCGGTGGAGGTGGATTGGGCGAAAGCCGGCAAACTCACGCCAGTTAAGGATCAAGGTAATATTTAAGACGGCGAATTAAGTAAGGGAACTTCTCTGGAACGATGCACAATGCTTTCAACACTAGAATCATGGGTTAATTCCAGTGGCTATTCTGCATCTTAAACAAACACTTGGAAGGCTACGCATGAATGCACGTTTTGTAGGGGCGCCACGTGGGACCGCGTGCATTGAATACGAACCACGATCAACAAATCCATATCTTTCACTAGTGCATGATTTTTTTTTGTTTAGTTTCTCCTATTCATTCTATAGTTCAGTCCTTAGTATACTCGTACAACGCGTGGTCCATGGAATAGTTCAGTACACACTAGTTTAGCAAAGACTTTTGGGGAAAGAACACGATTTGCTTGGACTGGTTTGCTGTATTGGCTTTTGCTCTTCAACACTTTACTAACCGAATCACATAAATACCAATATTGATAATGATTGAAAAATATAAGATGAAGGATTCTGAGTCCTGTAGAAGGCACGACTTGTGTTTTTTATGAAAACATTGGTTACAGACAATTTCTGGCACCTAGTGCAACGAGAGTTGGCCAGCCTAGTTTTTTCCATAGTGAATGGTTGACTTACTTCATAATTGCTCTCTCAACCAGGTTCTCCGATCGAATCTCCAGAAAAAGCGGCTCGTGGGACCGCGTGAATTGTAGGCGTGCCGCCCATTGTGGCGTACGAGAAAGCGCGCGTGTCCCGAGCCGCAAAAGTAAAAACTGCACTGTCGTCAACAGTGTTATAAGGCAGGGCGGGCAAGAAAGGTAAAACGTAAGGCCAATTAGCCAGCCTAAAAGGGTGGGCCGGTTGCATCAAGTGGGATCACATGCTGCAAATTATAGGCATGGTGGAGCTCCTATGGCCAAACGTTTCTAGTTCTGCAGGCAGGCCCCCAGGCTGGACACAACAATAAGAGCTTCGTCCAGTCATCGATTATGGGAGTCTTACTGGAGGATCACTCAGAGCTCAAAGCGCATAGGGCACGATAAACTGGTACTCCGTCTGAAATGCTAGCACGGTGCTATATAGTGGGGAAAATGGCGAAAAAACGAAGTGAAACGGTCGAAAACCTGCGAAGAAAAGCTTTCGTTCTTAATGATTCAAGAAGCAATTCGGACGAGTTTCCCGTTGGTATCTTGCCAATAAAACCGCCACGGCAAGATACGGCTGCTATGTTTCTCTGATAGTAACTGTGTAGAACCACGGCCGCTTCATGTCAATCCTTTCGCTCTATATTTCACTTCGCAAATGAAGCAATACGAGCATCAGGTACGGTCGTCCATTTGTGGGCGGGCGGGCGTGGTGGGCCGTTCAGGTCGTATACTTGTAGCTCAAGTAGAGCCCTTATATCGGTTGTAACCGTTTCTTGGAGGGCTCTGCGCACGCCTTCTCAGGGCGCGGAATTCCGTCGCTGAGGCGTATTGATTTGTCTAAAGCTGTCAGCACAACCAGCCCCCGCGGCAGCAACCCATCTCCGGGAGACGTCACCCAGGCCAGCCTTGTACGACGATCCGGCCGACCGCTACGCGGGTTCTAACTTACCGCCTGGAGGCCTACTCGTCTTTAGTGATTTATCGTGCCAACTGCGCCGAAGACCACAATGGAAACAGCACTAGGGAGAATGAGAAGCTCAGGACCGTAGAGCACCAATCGTTTGCAGCCTTCTTCCACTCAGCTCTGGATCCAAGATGGGCGACCTTGTGTTCAGGAAGAATTCCGATTGCGGTTAAGTAAATGTTATACGGTCTCGCTCGTTGGCGGATGCTGGAACGATTAAGAAAGAAGAGAGAGATAAGAAACATGAAGTCGGAGATAAGAGGTAAGAAACATGAGGTCAGAGCAGGCTTAAGGGCTAGTTAAGGAGCAGTGGAAACCCAATGTCCTTAGTGAAATCAAGTTCCGGTCAAAGTCACTATTCGTTTTCGAGCGCCTTGCGTCTGAATGCAGCGTCTGATCGGTAGGCACCTTGGCCCAGTGTCGGTTCGAAGACGGGTTCTTAGACTTGCCACGTTATCTTTATATGAAAATGGAGCGCAGGTTTGGATTGGGCTTTCGTAGGCTGCTTAGTTTCTTCACGCCCTGATTTGTTGATTTTCCCCATGTCATGCGCGCTTATATACCGTTCGCCCATGATCAGCAGCAAAAGTTTAGTGAAAATTTGCAAAAGCTTGCTAAGGAGAAAGGCAGGGTGTGGAAGGTGTCATACGGAGAGAAAACTGAGAAGGGATGAGTCGCATTCAGCAAAAATTTTCCACAACGCGATGACACATTGCCGCTGGAGATGTTATTATGCAAACGCATGTTCTGTTCCGTCCGTTGTACCTTTCCTTGGCCCAATCTTTACGTATAGGAGGCAAGGTGACTCACCACGCGCAGATCCCAGGGTTCAAATACCGGATCGGCTCTCGCACAAGTCAACCAAGTTCTTCCAAAACGTCCGGTGATAATGGCTGGGATTTTTGGACATGTACTCTGCATCCTCCTAAAGTATATCGTATATCGCATTCAATACAACTCCTATACTGAATAGAGTTAGAATGCATCCCAGAAAGCATTGATCAATGGTTCATCTTTTTCACACACTTTCTGAAGGTAGTGCATATGGTCCCAAGAATGCTGCAGAAGTATTTTATTGAGCCTTCAGATATATAACCTCAGTAGATGTATTCAAATTCTTGACGAAAAGTGGCTCATGGAAGGCTTTGTCCTTATTTCAGTTCTTGAAAGGATTATGTTTCAAGGTCAATGCGGTTCGTGTTGGGCATTCGCGACGGTTGCCTCTATAGAAGCCGCAAATGCAATAAAAACCGGCCAGTTGACAAGGCTCAGCGAACAGGAGATGGTCGACTGCGACACGCAGAACAATGGTTGTCACGGTGGATATCGGCCACATGCCATGAGGTGAGGATCCGTTCCGTTAAGTCTCAAAAACCACCGAAGAAAAAGGACTCATAAAGACAGTTGACCGCTGGGGGATTTAACTTTTTCACCGATTTGGTTACGCTACTAAACAAAGGTGGATTTCAGGACAAGTCGGAAAATGAAAAGATCGGCGCATTTCGTCAATGGAGGGGGACATTTTAAGAACTCCCGTAAACTTACAATGTTATGAGTTGAATTTCAAGTCACTTTGATGAAACTCAACGAAGTTCCTTCCTGTCTAGGCTTGAGCAAGAATAATCCACCCTTGATTTACAGTCGTTTGCTCGCACAGTTATGGGCCAATGTTGCCTAACAAAATGGTGTTAAAGGGAAAATGGTAGCATTTCGTAGCTTCATGAGAGATTTCTGGTTTGTAGGAATGAAAATGTTCCTGACGCATTTACCGGGGCTCACAAAATGTCCCTCTCCTCCACCCACATTGCAGCCCTATTTCATCAATAGGCCAATTATCTCTATAAATCGAAGCTGCCCTACTGTCATAACTTGCTCAATCAGAGATTGCGCTCCGGAAAGTATCACAAGAATGCTGACATAAAGGCAAAAGTTTCTCAGGCAGGGCAAGAACCTGCACCTCACGCCTTTTGAGCGTAATGGATAATCCGGAAAGCTCGAGGTGCGAGTTAAAGCCCAGCCTGGGGTCAAGCCTTTTGCCCATAACTCAGATTTATTGTGATAGCTTCCTATAAGCTGAATCAGCCTTTAATAAATCGAATCTAATACATAAGCCTCACAGCTATAATGACTTTCTGGGTCACACAATGTGCCAGAGTACGCTTGTGATGGTGCGGTAGAAATTTTAGTTATTGAAATTTATAAAATATCAACAAACAGGAACTCATCCGACAGATAATTCTGTCGTTTTGACTCCCTTTTCTATGACCAACTCAAAAATAGGGGTAGCTTTCAGCTTATTTTCACCGATGTCTCTTGCTTCTCTTTTACTCACTCAACTAACCGTCATCTCCACTGTCATTTTCGACCCACTTCGGGGTACCAAGGCTAGCGAGAACTGCTCTCAAACAGTATTGAGAGCTTTGAACGCGAGGGTTTAGCCCCAAGTTATAGAGAAATTTCTGAGAGAGGGTCTTATTGTAGGGGTTTTCTTGATCCTGACCAATGACCTCGTTCGAATCACGAATGGAAGCATGGTAGGTATTTAAGTCGCTGAGTAGGAAATGTACTGTGAAGGAAGAGGGAGAAGAAATTTGAGAACTGATCATTTGCAGCTTCGTCCAGCAGAATGGCTTGATGAAGGAGGAGCAATACCCTTACGTTGGAACTGATCATAACACCTGCCTTCTTAAGCGGGATAAGGTAAGTGCTCAGCGAAAACTTAAGAAAAATAATTCCACACCTATTCAAAAACAAAAAAATACTCAAGAAAAATACTTGCGATAAGCGAGAAGGCGGAAGCCCATGACCATTGTGCCTTTCCTCATAGAGGTGTCCAGGAAGTTTTGGAAGATTGCACTCGTGCTTCCCTGAAAAGGCTGTTTAGGGAATGCCTTAGAATGAAAGCGCAGCGTAAAAGGCTCGAGAGAGGGAAATTCTAGTCGTATAAGATCAGGGCATCAGTTAAAATATCTAAAAATGCGCGAGTGAAATGGAACACGAGGTTAGCTCATGATCACCGCCCTGACTGCCCTGTCATTCAAATCGGAAACACGCCACTGTTCGACAGCTGTTGCCGGTACCTTCCCTATTACCTGCCCCGAGCTGGTGCAATCGGTTTTGATTCAGTTTAGCCTTCATAAAGCGCCACGATTGTACACGCTCCGTGGGAAGCAATCCTGCCCAGTAGTCAGAAGCAATGCACTCACCTCTGTGGATCCTAGTTTTTTGGCAAATGCGAGGTGGTTGGGTGCGCAGCTGTATCCCGGCGTGCGTTTCTCTGATAATAAGTGCCGAGAATGGGGCTTGGAGGGTACTGAAACCGGCTACCACTCCCGCTTCACTCGCTCTGCCACAACATTTCATTCCCACTCCTATCCATAGCCAAACGCGCTACTTGACTGCGCACTCTCAGTTTTGGTGTTCTCCAGTGTGGGTTTCGCTGCGGGTTCCTGGTATCGGTACTGCAAAGTGTTTTGCGCATCGAGTGAAGCATGGAGACGATACTCAGGTGTCACGAACCCTCCAGCCCCGTTCCCGTGGACTTAGGAGCCAGAGAAAGTGGCGCGCCAGCAGTGCGGACCCATCTTCGTGCACGGAAAGATCGCCTCCAGAGAGGCTTCTGCCAGAAAATCCGAAGGACGATGTCTCCTATTCAATTAATTATCCACACATTTTGCATATATGCTGCTTCCACGCAGCATTCTTTGGACTCTTTCCATCTTCCTTGACTAACATTAAGCGGGCGTCGATGGGTACAGTAATCTACTGGATAACAGGCGAAGAGCTGGATGAGCACCATCACTGCTGGAAATGAGAAATGGATCTTACACCATTTTCAAATATGAAATTGCATTGGTTACACTAAACCATACCCATGGCCCATTTCACAGCAAAACCATCACAGCACCTGACTTCGTTCCTCCTCTCCTACTATCATGAAACTCCTTGCGAATGTGCTGCTCTAATAAGAACGACATTCTGTGAGCTTTTGTGGGAGAAGGGGGGGGGGAGGAGTTCCTTGAGCCCCATCTTAGAGCCTAATACGGGGCAAGTTTCACATTGTCATGATGTTCGCCCGATCATATCACGTGACGATTACGAGAGACGAGCTGGAGAAGCTGGAAATCACCTGGCTGACTCACTCCACGTATTCCGTATTGTGACAACTTGTGACGTTTGCTTCAAGGAGCCCCCAAGCTTACAGCAAATGCACCACCTATGACCTTCGACGAACCTCAAGATATCAAGGGTGAACCAGTGAAAGGATCACTTATTATTATAGTATTCTCTTCTAGGAGGATATCGCTCTTTGGTCGAAGGCAAGAGGTAGCTACCTAAGGAGAATCACTATTTCGACTTTTACATTTGTTAATATTTTAGTTACCATGTAGTTGAGTAGACTGAATTTCCCCCACACAGAAAAAATCGCTATACTAGAGCGAGAGGCGCACTATTGAAAAAAAATCACAGGAGTAGTGTGTCTCCGCCCATTAGCTTATTGCGAACTGTGTCTTCAAGGATTCTTCACGTGTTGTTCATGCTGTTAATATTTAGATGTTGAGAAGGAAACTTCAGGAGCGAGTTTTCATCCAAAGCTATCGTATGCTCTCAACCAATGAAGAAGTGATTGCTGATTGGATTGCAGCCAACGGTCCCGTCACCTTCGGTCTGTTCCTTGTCAAATTCAATATTGACTTTGAGCGCAAATGGTTGCATCCGCACTAGGGATTGTTCACCACGAGCTTTTATGGGGGTCATAATAACGGTGCTATTTGAG